GGTTACATAATCTAGCAGTGTTAAGAGGGTAAGAGAAGTTGCGATGCATTTGAAAATGCATTTAGAAATTATTGTAAGTTTTTAAAAAGTTTGAGAATTCTTGAAAAAAGCACGTAAACGGTAACCATTTGACAGGTTTTAACTGGATGTGCCCCAACGCATGTACAAAACTGACCCAGGGGAATGCATTATAATGATATATTGATATAAAGCACTTTGAATATATCTTCCACAGAGCGCAGAACAAGAGAGAGGAGTATCATAAGAGACTCGGAGACACCAGGTATGTTATTGGAAAGATGGATACATTTAAAACGAAGACGAAGTAACATAAAAGTCTACATGTGCTATTACTGATCCACGTGTGGAAATCTGGTTGACAATGTTGTAACAATAATATATTATATATACATGAATACGGTATTTTATATATACATACATAAATATCCACATGCATGTCATGAACAGGCGTTGCAGACGTATAAACATTAAACAGATTCACAGGCCCTCATATTAATTGGCGGACAGGCTGGCATAGAGCTCGCTTGGTGCAGTCTATGGAAAATGCTTTACCAAAAGAATGCATAAATACATAAATGAATAAATCAATTACAGAATAAGAACATGGGCAATAAATGATTAGATGGATGCATTCTAATCAGTGCTAGTTAACTTGGAACCCCCTTCCTCTGCCCCCCCCCCCCACCTTTTAAAACACGTTCTTTCGCGTTTAATGTCATAGCAACCCAAATGTGACCCCTCTGAAAGAAGAGAAAATGTGGTTTCGTACTAGGTCAAGTTGGGAAGCCTAAGTTCATTTTTAACTGATATGTTGTTATACAAATGTCCCTTGGTGGATTAGAACTTTTATTACATAGATCTACTCCTACTTGGGCAGCATTCAACCCCTCTTAAGTCAAAAACAAATTGATAAAGTACTTCAAAATAAGTTTACAAATATCCATTCTTTTTCTTATCCATTTACATATTAAAACATGTTTACTTTCACTGTTAATTCATTCTTCCATTTTATAGATTAATTCTATGGACTGGCAGCTGTTCAGTAATTTTCCACAGGAAAGTCCACCCACTTTCACCAACCCAACCCTCTCTCTCTATCCACAGTGCGTCCTGTGTTGCCCAAGAGCCGGCCCTACATCTCCGACATCGGCAAAGAGACCATTCGGTTGGGATGGAAACCTGCTGAGATCCCAAGCGGGCGCTCTATGTCTGTGCCACCTGTTTCCTACAGAGTGGAGGCTCAAAAACTGCCCAGCGAGGAATGGGTTCCCCTGGCCAGTCGAGTGCGTAAACCAAGCCTGTACTTGTCTGATCTGGATTCCGACAGGGATTACAACATCCGAGTGCGTGCGCAGACTCCATACGGAGTGAGTCAGCCCACTGAGCCTGTATGGATTCCAAGGGCGAAATGTGAGTATCCAGAACTATCCTGTTTGTTTGTTTTATGTACTGTTGGGAATTTAAGAGTCGTTACATCGCCAGAATAAACTTTTTTTTTACTTTTGTTTATATTTTTCTTGACCTCTGTATTTTATAAAGTACTTTTAAAGGTATTGGACTTACATAGAAAGAAATCAATTGTCATACCATTTTCTACCAGACTGAGTGTCTACGGTATAATGGCTCTTTGGCTTGCACACAGAAGCTATTAATTCGATTCGATGTAGCTAAGTGTACGTTATAGAAGTTAACTGGAACTGAATGCCCCACCAGGCCGAGGTGGCCCTGACAGGCGAGGTCGATGTAGCCAAACTCCTGGATATTTTTTTCTGGGGTGTGTCAATGGAGACATCGAATATTTACTAATAATCTAATATTTTATTCATAGTCCCTAATTCTAGGAGACAATTCTACCACCATTCTAGACTTCTCCTCATTTAAGTTCTATATTTAGAAATAACTAGTGTCATTATGTGTCATGATGTGAACTACAAAAGGTGTATTGGAAACTTGTAATTTTCTCTGAATGAAAATCAAGTGCTCCAATGCTCTAATGTTTTAATGATTAAAAGAAATCTGTATCTGCGTTGGCTGTTGTAATCGGATGATATTCTTATTACCCCTAACCACGAATAACTATTAATGGTGATTCGTTTGTTCGCGACAGCGTTCACCGGTGTACCGGTCGGCCGTCCGACCATCGTGGAGATAGACGAGGACACCGCCAGGCTGCAGTGGAACAGAGTGGACATCCCGGCCTTTGACCGCTCGGACGAGCCTCTTTTGTACATGGTGGAGATGCAGGAACCACCTTCCTTCAGGTGGGCGGGATGTTTAACATGGAGATAGATAGATAGATAGATAGATAGATAGATAGATAGATAGATAGATAGATAGATTTACGGAATAATGGGTGAGTGCATGGGTAATTGGTAGGATCGATAGGTCAGTGGATGGGTGGGTCGGTAGATAAATGGATAAAAACAAAGATATTCTGAGAAATAAATTTTCAAAAGACGGATAGTTTGAGGCACGAATAAAATGAATAGAGAAGTAATAGCATGAATAGATAGCTGGTTGGAAGGGTAAGTATATGTTTGGGCAAAGAGTTGAACTTAGGGGTGACAGGCCGAAATATAGGCTAAGTAGATAATGAATGGTAGATAGTTTGATGAATAGGCCAGTACCTCTTTTTCTTAATTTTTAAAAAAAATCTGTCAAGGGCCCTTACAACAACAAAAAAACAGCCAAGTGATTCAAATTTAAAACAAAATGAAAATAATTAGAAGGACAAAAATTCAATCCAACTCAGACAAGTATGGTCTTATGTACTTCAGATGGCGCGAACTCGCTCGTCGTGTTCCAAACAACCACTACATCGTGCGTGACCTTGAACCTGCCCAGGACTACCGCTTCCGAGTCAGAGTCGAGTCACGTGATGGACTGCTGAGCGAACCAAGTCCGGCCACTTCAATGTTCAGAACTCTTGGTGAGCTGATAATCTTTTTCTTGAAATTATAACAGGTCGATAATATTACTCTATAAGAGAAAAAAGGCAAAACAATTAATTACTTCATTGTCCATTGTGGAGTGAAATTTGTTGATTCGTATATAGAATCTACTTATTTTTCGTGAGTTGTTTTGTCTTTTTTAAAGTGTGACCTTTTGTTTCTCGTAAGCGTCTTTTTTTTATTAGGAAATGTTTAAAAGATCTGTTGGGGGGGGGGGGATAAAATGAATTTGTACAGTAATAGTAGTATTAATAGGGCAGTGTTGATTTTTTTTTAATCCGCCATTGTCGATCCACCTGTATCTCAAGTGGCAAACAATTTGAATATGACAATGCTGATT